CTTACATTCTTGAAACTGAGTTCCTGCTACCTAAGGGATGGGTGTTATGACAATCCACTAGGATGGGGCGTGCGAGCCAAGTTACTAACTAACACCCAACACCTGTGTCTCTTGGTGCAGCTAATCACAGCGGACTCTGTTCTTCCAGGGCTGTTTCTCTGAGCCGGATAAAACAACAACAGTCTTCCAATGCCCTCCCCTTCCAGGAAGGCCGTCAGGACCGCCCATAATGTGTTCCTGGTATCCCTGAACCTCAGGTCACCAACCATCTTGTAGATAACCCCTTCCTGGGGGCACTCGGCTGGCGGAGTCGGTGGAGCGCGTGACTCTGGATCTCCGCATTGTAAGTCCGAGCCCCACGCTGGGGTATAGAGATTACTTACAATCCAATCTTTAAAAAGAAGAAAAGATAACCCCTTCCTGAACTTTACCAGCCACTCCTCTCAAGTCTATTTGTCTCACTCTTCTTTCTGAAACACGTGCCCACATCCAGTCTCCTATGGTGTTTTCTCCATGGTGTTCTCAGCGTTGTCGATGGCGGTCTCGGGTGTAATTTCCATTAGTGAGATCCCGGGAGGTAAAACACGCCATCCAGAGCATTTTAATCCACTTGAAGTTCGGCTTGGATTTCAAGGGAACTCCACTGGACAGAGGTCCATAATGGCTGCCAGGTCCTTGCTACCCAAAGTGTAGTCCAAGAACGGCCTCCTGAACATCTCTGGGACCTACTTAGGAATGAGAAATTTCCCCCAGCCCATCCACTTTCTCTCCTTTTTCCACCCCACCCCGCTGCCCCAGACATACTGACTCCCAATACCTATTTTTAAGAGATCCTCAAGATTTGTGCACAGACCACAGATTGAGAAGCATAAAGTTAGGGTAGTTCTCAGACTTGACTGCACTTGAGAATTAGCTGGGGAACTTTAAAAAATGCCCCGGTGCTGGCCCCTATCTCTAGAGAATCAGACTTAACTCATCTGGAATAGTGCCCAGGAGTAGGTGCCTTTTAAAAGTACATGCAGTGATTGTAATGTACAGCCAGGGTCCATGACCCCCCGACCAGAGCTCCCCGAATCGGGCGGGCTTGGCCCCATGTATCAGGACCACCTTGGGCCTGTAGCTGGGGTCAAATGGCTGCAGCTGGGGAGACAGAAGTGCCCCAGAAACTGGCGACCTAGAGCGGCTTGATAAATATGTCCTCGTAAACACGCTTAAGTCTATACAGTCTCATTAAAGTACAGTCACATGCTGTGTTTATAACGATGGAGTTGCCAAAAATGGGCGTCAGTAAAACAAATCGTATTGTCACAATGGTTATTATTATTGTAACAAAACTTTAACATTTCTTACCCCTCTGCCAATGCAATCACAATGCATAATGCATTTGAGATTACTTCCAGCTGTCTCCTACTCTATGAATGGGGACATTTCCGTGCACACAGCACTCAGACGCCTTGTACATTTGCATGATAAGCAACCATCTTCTCATTCATGAGTTGAGGCTCATAACCGAGGATGGCCCTTCAGTGGCCGCCTTAGATGGCCTCAGACCTGGAAGGAGCCCCTCTTCCTGAGCCTGAGAGGTGAGGTGAGTAAGGCATGGGCCAAGGCAGAAAAGGTCTTGACTCTGAAGACTTCGTTTCAAGCTCGTTATGCCACCCAGGTCACGATGGGGGTGGCCAACTGTCTCCTTGTCTGTAAAGTCCAGGTAAATACCCCTCTCCTGACTCCCCACAGTGACTCTTGGGAGGCTCGAATAAAATGGTGCTTAAAAATGAGTTGCCTCCGGGCTCCTGGGTGGCTTAGTCGGTTAAGCGCCCGACTTTCGCTTAGGTCATGATCTCACTGTTTGTGGGTTCGAGCCCCGCATTGGGCTCTGTGCTGACTGCCGGCCCAGAGCCTGAAGCCTGTTTCAGAGTCTGTGTCTCCCTCTCTCTCTGACCCTCCCCTGCTCATGATGTCTCTCTTTCTCTCTCTCCTAGAAATAAATAAAGCATTAAAAAAATTTTTTTTAAAAAATGAGTTGCCTCATAGCAGAAGACTCTAATAACAGAAGGAACGGTCACTAAATGCTGTATTAGTAGCATTAGTAGTGATAATAGAAGTGTTATCACCCCAAAGGGAGGGAGAAGACTCTATCTTCTAAACTTTTGGGGTTTCCTGTTTTCTTTGTGAAGAGAAAATGGATGGGTGAATGAGTAGATGGGTGGATAAATGAATGGGTGGGTGGGTGGATGGATGGATAAATGGATGGATGGATGGATGGGTAGATGGATGGGTGGGTGGATGGATGGATGGACAGGTGGGTGGATGGGTGGATGGGTTGGTGGGTGGATGGAAGGAAAGAAAAGTGGGTGGGTGGATAAATGAATGGATGCATGGATGGATAAATGGATGGATGGATGGATGGGTGGATGGGTGGGTGGATGGGTGCATGTGATGGATGGATGAATGGATGGAGTGATGGACAAATGCAGTGCAGCCTTGACATGCAGCCCATGTCCCACCCTTACCTCTTGGCTTCTGACAGCTTTACACCAGCCATCTGAATGCCTTGTGGGTCAAGTACAACCGCTCTGGTATAGCCTACAAGGCCTGTATTATCCGCCCAAACCCGTCCTTTCCACCCCCGCTTGGTTCTTTTCCCTCATGCTTTCTCACCAGTGCACAGCCTGTGATTTCTCATCTCCATTCCTTGGCTCTTCAGGCTCTTAAGTCTGTAAGCCAAACTATGTGCCAAGCCCGGCTCATCTGACTCCTATTTGGAAGCCATCCCTCGTTCAGTCAGTCCAAAGGAATCCCTCCCTCCTTTCCCATCATTGCACCTTATTTGTTTCTGTCTTACAGACTGTATATCTTTCTACATGTGTAAATTACCTCTCTCACTTAAAGGAGAGGAAAAGAAATAGCAGGTAGTAGTCACCCAGGCACCCTCACACAATCCTAATAAAGACATTGCGAGGGACATATTATTATTCTTATTTTACCAAAGCAGGGACACAGGCTCCAAGAGCTACACTGACTTGTCTGAGGCATATTAGTGGTGGATCTGCAATGTGAACCCTCGTCTTCTGACCTTCTCCAGTGGCCAGAGCTCCTGGAAGACCCTGTTTGCATCATGACTGATTCGTCTGTAAAATGGAGGTAATCCTAGTGACGGGGACAGAAGGAACTGGCCAGTGACGGTTAGTCACATCAGCGTTGTTCTTTGTCAGGCTAGCACCACCTGTCCTGTGCTCTGTAAGGGTAAGGGTAAGCCCCCAGTAGAAGCTACTCGTTTTCAACTCTTAAAACTAAAGTCAATGCTCTATGATCTGATTCTGTGGAATCATCAACTTCTCAGTTAATTAGAAAAAGAGAAAATCACATATACCTTAAGATCTTCATTTTAATTTAAAACATGTACTTCAATTTACCAACCTTTTCCTGCAAGGCTCACACCTTTTCTTTGAGTACGGAGTTACTCCTGGGGTGTACATTCCATCAACCGCACCCACAGTGCAAGGTCTACTAGTTTGGGTAGTAATCCTTCTACCAATCAGAATCCTCTGAATGATGACCAACCGTTTCCCCGCCGAAGCCTCCAGCCTTGTTATCTGATCCACAACTAATTCAACGGCTGTTTCTGGAGTCACTTCCCTTTAGAGCATTTTTGAAAGTTGTCGTCTTAAGTCCATAGACACAAATCTCTCTTTGCACTGTTTCACTGGCTTATGTGAAACATGTGGGATTTTATTAAATGAGCTCATTATAGTAACAGGGACACCCAAGGCAAGAAGGCCTAGGAATAAGCACAGTGGTTCTTGGTGACACTAAGGGCAGGTGCAGCAAAGAGCAGCCCCCAAGAGGTGCTCAGCAGGCCCTGTGCAGCCACTGGGGGGTTTGGGTGAGGACTGAGCAGCTGCAGGTAACGCACGGACCAGCACCGTGGGGAGAGCATCTCTGGTAATTTATGGGGCGCACTGCAAACGCTACCCGCTGCCCACTTCATTAATTTCACTAGCGAATCCCTCCTGTAGAGTCAAGGAGCAGGAAGTAAACCCCTTGGGATTCCCTTGGCCTCGGTTTGTTATCTCCACCCCATCACTCACTGGCCAAGTGACCTTGAACCAGCCATCCCCCATCTTTGATTAAATGGTGATGTCACCCATCTTGCAGAGCTCTTGCTGGGGATTGAGGGAGATGATACACCCTAGATGCTGAGCACATAGTAGGTGCTTCAAAAACAAGAGCTGAAGACACAATGTTAATCCTTTAGGTTTCTGAAATCGCAACTGTCATTAAAGGGGCTGAAAGAGATGCCTTAGCTGTCCTCCTCCGCACTAAGAATTCTCTGAGTACCTTTTTCAAAATTAGCATTTACAAACCCCTTCAGAACCTCAAAAACCTGAGGCTTTCCACTTACCCTGTTTGCACTTGCAAATTGTTTTCCTTTGAAGTGGAAAGAAAATGCACACGTTAACATATACTATTAGGACCTGCTCCTATATCCAAATGGAAGGTCAAACTCCACCTCACCCTCTCTTGTTTCAGGCAACACTTCTATTTCAATTGCAAATCCATAAGCCTCTTTTGTGAATTGCATTTGGTTTTTAAAGGAAGAGGGGTGCATAAGTCACAGGATCCTTTACAGAAGCGGCATCAGAGAGAGGTTTCCTAATGCACCTAACCGGATAATATGGTAATCGAACCAAATCAGTGGCAAAACACTTTGAAATTTTAAATACGATCTAAATAGCAATTGTTCTAAAATTTATAGTTGGTAGACTTTCTTAGCCTCAATCACACTGAAATGTGTTCTCTTTGTTTTTCGTTTTGGCAGAAATAGGGACTTGCGAGTTAATCTTTTAAAAGATATTTGATTGTAGCAATTTGTAATAAAGGATGCATTTAATACATACTTAATAAAAAGTAACACCTCAGCTATAAACGGCTTCATTGAGATATAGAAACATGTTATAAGCCATTAAATGCGTACAAGAAATGGAATTAAACAGAAGTTACTTTTAATGTCAGTTTTTATTTCCGAAATGGTCTAAAATTGAAGATAATGATTACTCATAGGAAAAGAAACTTTTGTCAAATGCAAGATCAACAATGTTGGTGGCATTTTCTGACTCATGGGTGGATTCATGGTCCTGGAGAGGTGCCTAGACATTGTAATTCACAAGAATTATAATTAACAAGGAAAAATTACTCATTTATTTACATTCCCATTTGAACACTAGATAAATTATTTGCTAAAAGCCCCTTAATGATCCCAAAGTACATAATTATCTAGTACATTGGTCCCACTTTCAGAGGATAAAACCTATAGCAAAATGACTTTTTTTCCCCAAAACTATTCCCTTACAACTCCTGCTAGACATTTCTTTTATGGTTTTTAAAAAGTTATATTGGTTTTTTTAAATATCAAAATATTTTATGCAAAATATTTCATTTTTAAAAAATTCACTCTCGCTCTTGGGAGAGTGTATGTGCAATTGTTAACGATGTACTACAGATTGCAGTAAGTTCTGAAATTAACACTGAATATATTTTCATATTATGTTTACATATGGGTAGGTTTTTTTTAGACTCCCTATCTTTTTTAGATTTATGAGATTCTCTACAATAAGATTTTGTGTGAGTATATTTAAATTTCATATGTGTATATATTTATACACACACAGAGCAAGATTACATACTTGCTTTAATTTCTCCCAATCTTAAAAACTCATAAAATATTTAAGCTGTTTCAGGACCAGAATGGAAATGCCTCAAAGTGTTGTTTAAAATTACATCCAACCCTCACCTACCCATGCTAATGAATGGGGCAGCACCGCTATGAGGACTATCAATCAAAAGTAATCAATGCGCAGAGGCTCAACGGTTAACCTCGTTCTCTGCCCACTCCCTCCCTCCCTCGCCCTCCTTCGCGACCTTAACTCCAGCTGCTCAGAAAATGACTCATTGGTCTCTATCCTCATTGCCTGTCATCCAACTGATGAAACTTCCAGTCGGGAATAAAATGATCAAAGGGTGAGCAGAATGAATAATCTCTAAACTGTGGCAAACAGCTAGGGGTCAGTTGATTTAAAGGTTTCCGTGGCTTCGTTCATTCATTCAACAAACATTTATTGAGAACCTAGTATGTGTGATGCATCGGCTGCCATCGGGGCTACGACAATGAACAGCTTGAACGGTTTCCCTGCTTTTATGGAAATGTGCGGGAGGAGACGGGCCCTAAAACACACAGCTACAGAATTAATAGCAGCCCTGAAAAAGCAGTGTAAGAAAAAGACACTATATAATGAAAGAATATACCTGGAGGTCCTCACCTGGTCTGCTGGGGGATGGCGGTGGTCAGAGAATATCATTATCGCGGGAGGTGGCCCTCATGCTGGATGGAACAGATAGAGAGAGGAGTTCAGGGGGTCCAGGCAAGAGATCTAGCACACATGAAGGTCCTGGGGGAAGAGGAGGCTTCGGGCAGCAGGGGCCACACAGGCAGCCGGTGTGGCTGGGGACACGCAACAGGGGGCTCTGCTCTCAGACGCGGCTAGAATCGTGGGCAGGGACATTGGAAAGCTAAACTGTGGTTTGGATTGATCCTGGCTGCCACTAAAGGCTGGCGTGGAGTGGACCGTTGCCGTGTGGACATGACCACCTACAGGATTCAAAGCTCGCTCTGCCTGCTGTGGGGAGAACAAATCAGAGGGTTGGAGATGCTGAGCTGGAGGCCACTGGGGCATTGCAGATGACACAGGATGGTGGCCTAGAGGTGCAGCGAGATGGGTGTGTTGGGAAGGATCCACTCTGGACAAGGCCACCTGGATGCAAATCAGATATGCCACTTGTGGGTCACAGACGTCTGTAAGGGTCACAGAGCCAATGCAGGTACTGTATGCAAGCCCCTTCATAATCATGTCATGCACTGAACTGTATCCCCCCAAAATTAATACTTTGAAGCCTTATCCCCCCAGCACCTCCAGAATGTGGCTGTATTTGGACACGGGTCCTTCAAAGAGGTCACTACATTAAAACGAGGCCATTAGATGGGTGCTAATTCTATCTGACTTGTGTCCTTCTAAGCAAGATTAGGACCCACAGAGGGACCCCAGGGGCTTTCGCAGGTAGAGGGACAACGGTGTGAAACGGCAAGAGAGGGGGACCATCTGGGAGCCAAGGAGAGGGGTCCTCGGAGAAACGGAGCCTGTGGACACCTGATCTCAGATTTCCAGACTCCAGAACCGTGAGGAAACACACTTCCGCGGTTGAAGCACCCCATCTCTCGTGCTCTGTGATGACGGTCCCAGCAAAGGAATGCAGCATCCGAGCCAGGTCACGAGCACGAGATGCAGGCAGAGAGAAGCAGCAGTGATGAGCCTGGCAGTGATGAGCGCGTTGCCATGTCCGCCCACCCAGGCCGTTGCCCTTGACTCCTAAGGTCAAGCAGGTGTGACCAGGGAGAAGGGTGTCAATGTCTCCTCACCAGTGAGTTAGAGATAAACGTCTCTGGCGTTGTTGTAGATGAAATACCAATGAAGAGAAGCCACAAAGAAGGCCTGGGATGGCTCCAGCACCTGATGGGAAATCGGAGGTGTAGGCAGCAAACGTCACCTGGAAGTTTTATAGATAGGGGTTCGCAGGGCTGAAGACTTGGGGATCAGCATCTAACTGCCCGTGTGCTCTGTGGTGCATTTGATGCATAAGTAAATCGCTAGGAAAAACCTGCATCAAGGAAAGCGAAAAAGTGTGTGTTGGTGCTGTCACACATCTGTCCGTGTATCCATCCCTCTGTCCATCCCCCCAATTCATTTTATTCCTGCAACCGGATTCCGAGCAAATTGCCGACATCAATACATTCCAGCCCTAAACACTGCAGCTCCTGTATCAGACCAGTCTGACCAGTCTTTTTGGTCTGGCAATGGAATAAACAAGACCATTAAAAAAATAAATAGATAAAAAAATAAATCATTATGGAAGTCTAGCCGGCATATAACAAGCTGAACATATTTAAATATGCACGTTGGAAAGGTTGGACATATATACACCCCAGGACATGATCTTCCATGACCAAAACAATGAACGTGTCCATCACCCCAAAAAGCTTCCTTATGCTCCTCTATAAGCTCTTCTTCTGTGCTCACCTGAACCTTCACAGCTCTGCTTTCTGCCCCTGGAGTAGTTTTCTAGAATTTTATATAAATGGTATCATATGGTATGTACTTTCGTTTGGCTTGGCTTTCTTTCTTTTTCTTTCTTTCTTTTTTTTTTTTTTTTTACTCAGCATAATTATTTTGAAATTCATCCAAATACTTTACTCATTTTATTGCTGGATTCCATTGCATACATATAGCACAGTTTAAAACCCATTGGTGGACATTGGGGTTATTTCCAATTTGGGGGGATGGCTAATAAGACTAGAGTGACAAGTCCTTCTGCAGAGGTCTTTTTATATGCTTATGTGGTCCTCTTTCTCTTGGGCAAATGACTAGAGGTGGAATGTCTGGGTCATGTGATTAACTTTTTAAGAAATTACCAAACTGTTTTCTAAGTGGGTGTACCTACCAGAAAAATCTGAGGGTCCTGGCTGTCCCCACATCCTTCATAGCATTTAATTCTTATCCGTTCTTTATACTGTAGCTATTCTAATAGGTGTATTGTAGTAGTTTATTGGAGCTCTAATTTGCATTTCCCTAATGACTAATATCCAGATTATTTTTTAAAACATTTTTAAAAATGTTTATTTATTCTTGAGAGAGAGAGACAGTGAGAGAGAGAGAGAGAGAGAGAGAATGAGCAGGGGAGGGACAGAGAGAGACGGAGACACAGAATCTGAAACAGGCTCTAGGCTCTGAGCTGTCAGCACAGGACCTGATGCGGGGCTTGAACCCACAAACTGTGAGATCATGACCTGAGCCAAAGTCGGATGCTTAAACGACTGAGCCACCCAGGTGCCCCACTAATGTCCAGAATCTCTTCATGTGTTTATTTGCTATCTATGTATCCTTTTTGGTGAAGTGTCTATTCACATCTGTTTGTTTGTTTCTGGATTGTCTGTTTTCTTATTGTTGAATGTTGAGAGTCCTTTACTTATTCTGCATACAGATCCTTAGACCATCTTCAGATGATTTGAACATAGTTTCTCCTGGATACTGGCTGTCTTTTCATTGTCTTAATAGGTTGTTTTGTTTTAAGGAGATGGTTTGGATTTGGGTTAATCTACCAGTTCGTTCTGTAATGAATCATGCTTTTATTATTGTTTTTGTGGCATCATTGCTTTAATTCAGGGTTACACATGTTTTCTTCTGTAAGTTTTATAAAGTTTTAAGTTTTACTAAATGTAATGTTATGTATCTCAATCTGAGTTCATTTTTGTGTGGGTGTGGCTCTCCAGCTGTTCAAAAGCCATCTGTGGGGAAGATCAAACTGTCCAGACTCTGTTCTGCACCATTGATCTCCTGGTTTATCGTCATTACTATAGCGTTAGAGTTAAGTGTTGAACTGAGGGTCGTGACAGCCAGCCGACTTTACCTGTCTTCTCCAAAGTTTCTTTGGCTATTCTAGGTCATTTGCATGTGAATTTTAGGATCAGTTTATCAATTTATACAAATAGGCCTTGCTAGGATTTTGATTTAGATCAATTTGGGAATGAGTGAATCGTTAAGAATAAAGAGGCTTCCAAAGGGATAGTCGGACCCTTTACATTTAGACCAACAATGTCTAAATGTGATACAGTCAGGTAGGTTTCAGTCGTAACATCGCTATTTCATTTGTCTTTCTTTGTTCCTTTTTCTGCCTTCTTTTGAGTGTCATTAAATTTTTTAAGTACTGCATTTAGTCTGCTCATTGGTCTGTTAGCTACACCTCTTTGATTTTTTATTTTAATGGTTGCTTTGGGGTTCACTTATTATGGCCTACCTTCAAGTGGTATTACACTCTATAGCATAAGAACCACAAGAGTCTATTTCCATGACATTCATTGTGCACATACAGGGAACACATATGTGTGTTTTGTCACACATTTTAAGTACGACAAACATGCATTGCTGCATGTCATAAATGTGTGTACTGTCACATGTTATTTTATGTGTGTTACAAACATCACATGACATCGTTAATACTTTTAATGGCTCAATTTTTAAAAAGTGCTCATAAACATATAAACGCCCACCGTTTCTGACCCTTATGTGGTTCCAGGAGTCATTTTCTTCTGCCTGGAGGATTTTCTTTAACATTTTTTCTGCAGTGCACATCTAGTGAGGAGAATCCTTTTTGCTTTTGTATGACTGAAAACATCTTTGTTTCCCCTTTATTTCTGAAGGACGTTTTCACTGGGTACAGAATTCTAGATTGATTTGTTTTTCCATTCAGTACTTTTAAAAATGTTGTTGCACATTTTTCTCGCTTGAGTTATTCCTGGGAAATTTATTACCATCTTTATTGTCATCCCTCAGTTTGCAATGCGTTTCTCTGGAAGTTTTTAATAATTTTTCTTAATCACTGGCTTTGAGCTATTTGTTTACAATGCTCCTGGTGTGCTTATCTTCACGTTTCTTGTGCTTGGGGTTCACAGATGCTTTTTATGTAGAAGTTTATAGTTTTGAACAAATTTGGAAAATTTGTGAGCATTATTTTTTTCAGATATTTTTCTGTTCCCACATCAGTCCCCCCCACACTGAGGGTCCATATAACCACCCACACAGTAGGCTGCCTGAAGCTCTCTCACAGCCCACTGACACTGCTAATATAATTTTAAAATTTTCTCTTCTCTCTTGATGTCATTTTGAACAGTTTTTATTGCTGTGTTTTCAAGTTTACTAATTTCTTTTCTTCGATGTAGATGTTGAAATCCATCCATCAGTCCCGGCCAGTGTGTTTCTTATTTCACATATTGCAATTTTTGTCTTTTGTCTCTGGAAGGTCAGTTTGGGTCTTTTTATATCTCCCATGTGTCTCCTGAACTCTGTGGCCATATGGAATGTAGTGACAGCCATTCTTTTAAAATCCTTTCTGCTAGTTCTAGTGTTTGTGTCAATTATATGTTAGTTTCCAGTTTGACTTTTCTCCTAACAGGTGGTATGTCCTGTTTCTCTGCATGCCTGATAATCTTCAATCAGATGTCAGACTTTGTCAAACCACCCGCCTTTTTTTGACACTGGGTATTTCTGTATTCCTGTAAATATTCTTAAGTTCTAGGAGCAGCTGGGTGGCTCAGTTGGTTGAGCGTCCAACTTCGGCTCAGGTCATGATCTCACAGCCCTTGAGTTCGAGCCCCTCATCGGGCTTTGTGCTGACAGCTCAGAGCCTGGAGCCTGCTTCAGATTCTGTGTCTTCCTCTTTCTCTGCCCCTCCTCCACTCATTCTCTCTCTCTCTCTCTCTCTCTCTCTCTCTGTCAAAAATAAAGACTTTTTAGGGGCTCCTGGGTGGCTCAGTCAGTTAAGCATCTGACTTCGGCTCAGATCATGATCTCATGGTTTGTGGGTTCAAGCCCCACATTGGGCTCTGTGCTGACAGCTCAGCACCTGGAGCCTGCTTCAGATTCTGTGTCTCGCTCTTTCTCTGACCCTCCCCTGCCCATGCTGTCTCTCTCTCTTTCTCTCTCTCTCTCTCTCAGAAGTAAACAAAACATTTAAAAAAAATAAAGATTTTTTAAAAAGTAAAAAAAAAAAAAAAAAAGCAGGGATTCCTGATCTCTTAAAATGTTCTTGAGCTCTGTCCTGGGATGCAGTTAAGCTACTTCAGCAGAGCCTGATGTTTTTCAGATTTGTAATGTGGGACCAGAACAGTGCAGGATGCAGTTCTCCATGGCCAAGGTAAGACTCTTCTGTGTACTCTACCCAGGGCGCTGTAATCCACGAGCTTCCTCAGTCTGCCTAGGGGAAGCAGGCACTATTCCCAGCCCTGTATGAACACCAAACACTATCACGTCTCCTCCAGTCAAGTGGTTCTTTTCCAAGCTTCAAGGAATTTCCTTGCACGTACATGCTGGTCATTATTCACTTCAGTACTTGAGAGGAACCCCGTTTAGAATTTTCCTTCTGTGTCTCTCTCCTCTCTCCAATACTCTGTTCCAAAAATTCTGACTGCCTGGGCCTCCCAGACCCCTCAGCTATGTCTCCTTAATTCCAGGGATTTGCAAGTGTGGACTTGATTTCCATTCCCTGGTGCTCAGGCAGGAAACGCACAGGCAATAAACCAGGGCAATCTTAGGGTCCTCCTCACTGTTCTCCTTCATTCGCCCTTTGTTGCCTGGTGTCCACTTTCTCCTAACCTCTTGTTTTGACAGATCTTGTCCATTTATTGCTTGTTTCAGACGTGAGGGAGAATCTGGTCCTTGTCATTCCGTCTCGGCTGGGAGTGGCAGTTGGGAATACACCAGTCTTAAGGGTACCATCTGTAACATTTTCACAGATGTCTTCACCTGTTAAACTCAAACTCCTATCAAGCCCGAGACCATTAATTCCCATCTCCCCAGAAAGTTTCCCCTTCCTTGATCCCCTAAGAATTTCCCCATCATGGGCTAGTTTCACTTATTCTAGAACTTCTCACAAATGAACTACACAGTATGTACTCTCCCTTAGTTCATGCAGCCTACTCTTTCTGATATTTGGCCTTTTTTTTTGTCAATAGCTCCTTCTTTCTTTTTATGTCTTATTATTGCATATATCTCCCAAACTTTGTTTATTCCTTTTCTTGTTGGTGTACATATGGGATGCTTCCATTT